GATTTTAAACTAGTACAGACTAGTTTAAACATCATCACGTAACCATTGTTTTAATTCCATTTAATAGAAGAAGTTGTGGCAGCCGAGACCATCATTAAAGCATGACTGAAACCATGGACATTATCTACCTCATTAACTTCTATTGGTTTTATAGCAATTCAGAACCGCCACAACCTTCCTTAAGAACCATGGCACATGGAATTAGATAAGGGTGCTATGACTTCTCTGTTAGAGAACTGTAGTGTCCATTTACAGACCTAGAATTTGAAAGGTTCCCTGGGAAGATGAAATGACTGTTAGACCAGATTTGCAGTTTCTCTCTGTGCTATATAAATGACAGTATCCAGTCTGAAGTTGAGAGTTCTTCAGAAAAATAGAAGATGTGGCTTAATTAAGAGGGCTAATGGCCTGTTCTGATCCAGTAACAGCAAGTGTCATAGACTTGAGTGTCAATGTTAATGGTGCATGCCAATCTTGATAGAGTTCGAGCCTCCTACTAGAATACCCAAAATGCATTTTCTTAACCTCCTAATGAAAAACAAAAATACAAATGGATTTGTCTTATTTAACTGCTTGCTGATATTTCAGGGCAAAAGAATGATTTATTCCAGTAGAAAATAAAAGCACTGCAATGTTTTGAAACAGTCTTCCTCAGCCTGGTACCCTCCAGATATTGTTGAACTTGGCCTCAAGTGGCATGAGCTGTAGCATAACAACACCTGGAGGGCACCAGGTTGGAGAAGGCTGCTTTAAATTATCATCTAGAACGTTTCCAAACTCCAAGTGAAAGCTAGAGGACAAGTCATGGTAAGATTTCACATGTTTTGTTCAAAACATGGGTGGGGTGTCAGATCAGGTAATCATTACTAAGGATGAGTGATGAACCTGTTCCATTGTAGCATTTTCTTGATCTACCTATCCAACGGGACACGGGTGGCACTGTGGGTTAAACGACAGAGCCTAGGACTTGCCGCTCAGAAGGTCGGCGGTTCGAATCCCCCCGATGGGGTGAGCTCCCATTGCTCGGTCCCTGCTCCTGCCAACCTAGCAGTAGATAAATAGGTACTGCTCCGGCGGGAAGGTAAACAGTGTTTCCGTGCGCTGCTCTGGTTTGCCAGAAGCAACTTAGTCATGCTGGCCACATGACCCGGAAGCTGTATGCCGGCTCCCTCGGCCAGTAAAGCGAGATGAGCGTCGCAACCCCAGAGTCGGTCATGACTGGACCTAATGGTCAGGGGTCCCTTTACCTTTACCTATCCAACACACACAATAAAATCTTCCTGGTCCCCCTTCTATTCTTGTTTGAATGAGAAATCTGGGCAGATTTGTCATTGTTTATGTGTGGGGACCTTCCACTCCACTTGTGCAAAGGTAAAGCACCACTTCAAAAGGAACTGCAAAGAAGCTGGCTGAATTGTCCTTTTCTTTTCATGCAGTGAACACACTTCATAGAATTAATGGAGAAAAGGAAGCCAGTGCATTATCATTTTATAAAAGCAATATGACGCTTTGTTCCACTCGGTCTCCCTGCCGAACAGCTTTCACCAACACATTTCCTAACAACTTTTAAAGAGTGTTTTGTATTAAGACAGCTGATAATAATAAAAAAGTGTTAAGTATTTTGAAATAATGGAAATTCCTTTGTGTGGTTAGCTGACATAATTAAAAGTGAGGAAATGTTATTAATGTAAAATGTCCACATGCGAAAAAAACCCAACCTCCCACAAAATTATATGTAAGTGCTCTCATCACCACTCTCCTAAAGATACTACTGAGGGGACACATACCTAATGTGTGTGAGTATAAAAATAGGAAAAGCACACAGGAAGCTGCCTTACACTGAGTCAGACCATTGGTCCATCTAGCCCAATACTGTATACATTGACTGGCAACAGCTATCCAGGCAATGAGTCTTTGCCAGCCCTACATGGAGATTCTGGGGGCTGGACCATTCTGCATGCAAAGCAATTACTTTAAGACTAAGCTATAGCCACCCCCCCCCAAAACAGGGCTGTTTGTTTCCTTCAAAACATGTGACACAGTCACATGACTCCTTTTCTTTCCCAGTGTATTCCCTTCAGCAGTTACACAGATTCTAACATTTTATACCTAATGCCTGCTGCAAATACAGTTGGACATTAACCACAAATATTACCCCAAAGCCATCGTTGGCAAAATAGTCTTACTAAAGTCAGCTGAAAATGTCCCCAGATGTATGTGCTGGGTATTGCTGCTGAAGCTCCTGGGCCACCACACAGAAAGTCCACAGGCAAATGGAAGTGTTAGCTTGGTTATAGGTAATCCTATGGTGTGTATACAGTGGTACCTCAGGTTAAGTACTTAATTCGTTCCGGAGTTCCGTTCTTAACCTGAATATGTTCTTAACCTGAAGCACCACTTTAGCTAATGGGGCCTCCTGCTGCCACCGCGCCGCTGGAGCACGATTTCTGTTCTCATCCTGAAGCAAAGTTCTTAACCCAAGGTACTATTTCTGTGTTAACAGAGTCTGTAACCTGAAACGTATGTAACCTGAAGCGTATGTAACCCGAGGTACCACTGTATAGTCAGTTGAGAGCTGACGAGCCATATGAAAGCACTCATGTGATGAGGTCCTCTTGAGCTGAAATTAGACATTGTGGTGGCCAAATGCCGGAACCCTTTTCCCATCAAAACATTGTCTCAGTGTTGGCTATGATTTCTGCATTGCAGGAGGTGGACCTTCCAGCTCCAGAATTCTATGATTCTAATGTGAAAAATGCAAATTCCATTCTGGAGATTATTAGGAACGGGGTAAAAAAAATTAAATTGTCAGTATCATAAAGCTAATCGTGGAGAACCTGTGCTCCCCCTAATGCTGTAGCACTCCATCGCCCTTCATTGCTGACAGAATCTGATGGGAGTTAAAAGTCCAACAACATCTGGAGGGCTACAGGTTCCTCAGCCCTTTCTCCCACCTCCCTTGAGCTACTTGGCCTTGGGATCTCTGTGCTGAGAGGTGCAGAGAGAAAGCAGTTTTGCCCTTGTTTGGGAGCTTGATGAAATCAAAGAAAAGAAAATGAAGAGAACAAACAGGAATGTTGTAGGCAATTTCATAGTCACTGCAACCGACCACTAAACAGAAGCTGGTTTTTGTTTTTGAAAAAGGGTGTTCTGTAAAAGGAAACAAATTGGGACAATTCATTTCAGAAAATTCCTTTCATAGACGGTTTGCAATTGTCCAGTGTCTTGAGAAAAATTTGAATATTTTCCCTTATTGGAGATATCAGCTTGCATGGCTCTTGCTGCAGAAGCTCCCATATGAAGTCTATGCCTTCTGATCAGAGGAGCAGGTATTTATGGATGTCATCGTAGCAGTTTCACATTCACTCTCTCTATTAATGCATTTCATCAGCTGACTCTGTCAGGCTTCTGAGGCTGATCATTTAAGTCTTTATTATACATCACAGTGGTCTTACTAGCCACTTTGTCATCTTGTGTTTCAGAGCAGAAGATCACTGTAGGCAAAGAAGGCCCTTGATAAATAAAAAAGGAGGCCAATAATGTGGGCTAGAATAATACAGGGTGGGTTTTTTTGTATTTTTTGCCAAAAGTGGATGTGATGTTAGACATCAGCAGAAGGTGTGGGCATTTATTTCCTTTGCAATCAAGCACAGACAACTTTTCAAAAGCACTGTGTGATTTTTTAAGAGACTTTGAATAGTTGCCAATAGCAATCAATCAAAAGAAAAGGTCTAGATTTCCTGTGAAATAATGTTGAATGCCATCTCCTTGCACCATTCAAAATCCAGAAATATGGGACCTTTCTGTTTCCTTTCTTGCTACCTGTAGGTAAGCACCCCACAAGGCCAGCATCTGGTTTGTGGGAACCATGGTCAAGATGTTGATTCCCATCAGGCAAAGGTTTTATACAACAAAGTGTGGCAGACTATAGCTACATTTAATAACATAAGAAGAACCACTCATTTTACATTTTACATCATCAACCTGTTCTACAGAATGAGGGCCATAGGTGTAGACTGAATGCACATCCAGACAGTTGTGGCAGCTTGTGTGCCAGTTGCTAATTATAATGGTTTAACTGACATGGAAATGGAAAATACATGTGTATTGCTAGGGGTTTAACACTGGAAAATTCCATTTGGTATACTAAAACAAAGTAGGGCTCTCTGAGCTTCTAAATGGTTTGGTGATTAGCTGTCGATGCTCTCTGCTTTTTCATGTGGTGTTTAACTTTAGATCATGTGAGTAAGGTATTTTAACTGTAAATTGCTATTTTGAAGGGAGTTTCAATTGGGGTTATTTTTCTTGTTGTTCCCAGCTACGGTGGGAGAAAGATGTGCAAATGAGTCTCTCCAGGAGAGAAAACAGCTCCAGGCTAATGGAGGCTGTAGGGAGGGAAAGACCTTTGATTTCAGGTCTGTTTGGAGTAATCTAATATTACTAAGAAGTTGATGAACCTATGCTTTGACAAGCATATGTCTTACGGAACCATTTGGGTGTATCATTATTTGTTTTTGTACCTGTAACGAAGAAAGTTCTGATTAGTAAAGCTTTCGAATCATATTTATGGGTCTGGACAATTTTTATTATAAGAGAACTCCATTTTTATGCATCTTATTGCTTCATGCCACACAATATTAATATCTGCAATACCGGTTTGCTGGAGAGCTACTAGCTTCCATCCCTCAATCCTGGTGCATAGGAGAAAGAAATCTCTGTGGGCCTTAGTTGTGAATAACATTATGTGGGGTTGAGCTTTATATAGGATGCAGTACTGAATGCAATTTTGCAAATTGATTTTACCCAATGTAATATAAGAAGTGTTCAGTACTTATACTAGCTGCTGGGGAGCCGCCGTGGAACTATTGCCTTCAAGCCATGTTTGTGGGCATTCTGGAGAGAGCAGGGTAATGTTTTCCATCAGACAATAACATAATCAGAGCCCTGCTGGATCATACCAAAAGTCCATCAAGACCAGGGTTTCCCAAACTTGGGTCTCCAGCTGTTTTTGGACTACAATTCCCATCACCCCTGACCAGTGGTCCTGCTAGCTAGGGAGGGTGGGAGCTGTAGTCCAAAAACAGCTGGAGACCCAAGATTGGGGAACCCTTATCTAGCCCGACAGTCTATCCTCATAGTGACCGACAAGATGCCTGCAAATAGGATACAATAGCACTCCCCTGCTGATGATCTCTGGCACTAAATTCAAAAATAGACTGCTTCTGGTACTGGAGGGGAAAGATAGTAGCCATTCATAGCCTTATCCTTCTTTAATTTGTCTAATCTAAGTTGCAGGCTTTTACTGCATTCGGTGGTAGCAAATGACATAGTTTAATGACGCACTATGTCAAGAATAACTTTGTTCTGCCTGTTCTGAATCTCCCAGCATTCAGATTCATTGGATAAACTCTGGTTCTAGTATTATCAGGGTGGGGAGGACTTCTATCAGGTCCCTTGGTCCCATTGATCCTTCTGAGTAAACATGGACCGGATCAGGCCGCACAGGGCATGCACACTTGCAATAATGGGAAAAGCCGATCCATAACTTGTGAAAATAAATAAAGTTATAATTGGCAGTTTCCATTGCCGAGGCCACCCAAATCCCTCATGACACACAGAGCAGTCAGCAAAACTGGAAAATCTTAATTATTTTCATGTGCTCATTAATTCTAATAATTAACTTAAAATGAAAAAGTGGCATCATGCTATCAGCTGTACTTTCTTCCCAGCTCTCTTTTTTCTGTCTTCCTTCAGCTCATCCAGGAGACTCTGGGAATTACCAGAATGCCCTTAAGAATTGCAGAGTAAATATTGGCAAGATACAAAAGTAATTATAATGACTGCCTTTTTGAGCACAACTTCTGATGGGAGATCTAAAGGCATTCTGCGCAAGAAAATTAATGTGGTCATACAACACCACGACTGAAATCCTTAATTGATTAATTGCTACAATTCAGATGATTAACTCATTAAATACAGGGTAAAATGTGGGGATTTAATTGGCATGGTCACTGGTAAAAAAAAAAGTTGAAGGTATTATCTGGACCATTTCCCCCCATGTTCATAATCCTATTTCTAAAGCAAGGGAGTAGATAGCAATATGTTTACATTTGTATGAAAACATCTTAAGACAGCATTCACTTTGAATCCCTGAATATCCAAGTTGCTGGCAATCACAAGTGGGCAGAGTGCTGGTACCCCTGGGTCCTGCTTTCATGCTTCCAACAGAAGAAGAAGAAGAGTTTGGATTTGATATACCGCTTTATCACTACCCTAAGGAGTCTCAAAGCGGCTAACATTCTCCTTTCCCTTCCTCCCCCACAACAAACACTCTGCGAGGTGAGTGAGGCTGAGAGACTTCAGAGAAGTGTGACTAGCCCAAGGTCACCCAGCAGCTGCATGTGGAGGAGCGGGGAAGCGAACCCGGTTCACCAGATTACAAGACTGCAGCTCTTAACCACTACACCACAGGTTGCCCTCTATGAGAACAAGATGCTGGACTAGATGGGCCATTGACCTGATCCATCATCAGTGGCATGCGGTGAAATTCTTCCTAGGGAGCAATTATGGTCAGAGTTATCAGCTTGCAAGGCCAATGTGAGGGGAGGGGGACACTGCACATGTGATGTCATGACACCCTGACATTGCATGTATGTATATCGTGCCTCCCTCCCTAAGCCAGGCAGAAGCTTCCCAGGCTTGGGGAAGGAGGCACCAGCCTCTGGCAGAAAGTAGGTTTCTTCTTGTGTGCCAGACATAACACAATGTTTAGGGATCAAATAAGGTCACACCTTTATTGATTACTGATGTCAGAGGTTTGGCATAGGCATTGTGTATAGCTATCAAATTCCAGCCCGCCTGCAGAAAGTATACCGTGGGTCAACCCCACAGCGTGGCTGGGGGCATTCCTATGACACACATCAGATAGGAGTCCCCCTGCAGGATTGATGTTTTGAGGAGTATTGTGGCCCTAATCCCTACCTGGGCATTTGGACAGAAGCAACTCCGCCAAGTTCCCTTTAGCAGGATACCATTTATTCAGAGGGGCAGGCAGAAGCTGTATCCTCCCCTCCAGCCAAGACTAAGGCTTACTCAATGTCTAAACAGCCAAAGTTGTGACGACTGCTATGAGGTAGGAAAAACCACCACGGCAATTGGCATGGTGGAGAAATCCCTGCCCGGTCCCAAATACTGCAGCCAACTATGTCCACTGCAAGGTCAGGTCAACAGGAGGGAGAGAGGGAGATCTGCCAAAGAACTGGGGCAGGGGCAGGCAGGTTTCATTATCTGGGAATGGACCCAAGGGAAGCCTCCATGGGCCCGCCCCCAGATAAGTGCCTGCCTCTATGCTCGCCCGCCAGTGGTCAATTTGTTATTCATTCATTCATTCATTTCCAATGTACTTTATACATTCATATTTAGATCCTATCAAGTCTTATATGGACTTCCCATCCTATCTGTCCTCAATGTCCTATTACACATTCTTAAGTTTGCTACATCTCCCTTTATTATCTACTCTTTTCTCCTTCTGTTAATGACCCTTACTTTTGTTTGCTGCTGCTCACAGATTAATCCCTGCTTGCAGATTTACCTTAATATTACATCTTTTTAAATACTCTCCAAATTGTTCCCACTCGCTTGTTACTATCTTTCCATCTATATTTATTATCTTGGCAGTCATGCTTGCTAGTTCTATATATTCTTTTACTTCAAGCAGCCATTGGTCCTTTATCGGGATGGCCTTCTCTTTCCACATTTTAGCGTACAGTATTGTTGTGGCTGCTGTTGTGTATAGAAAAAGGTTTTTAACTTTGCCTGGTATTTCTTGTCCCATTATCACTAACAGGAACACTTGTGGTTTCTTAGGGGCAAGTACACTTAAGCATCTTTTTTAATTCCTCGTATATCATTTCCCAGAATTTTATCACAAATTTGCATTGCCACCACATGTGGATTAGCATGCCCTCTTTATCTGAATACTTCCAGCATAAATTTGATCCTCTTTTGTATATTTTGGCTAGTTTGCTGGGTGTCAGATACCACCTGTACATCATTTTTTGAATGTTTACCCTGATTGTATAACATGCCAAAAAGCTTAGTGTGTTATTCCACAGTTTTTCCCATGCTGAAAGCTCTACAGTGGTACCTCGGGTTAAGAACTTAATTCGTTCTGGAGGTCCGTTCTTAACCTGAAAAACTGTTCTTAACCTGAGGTACCACTTTAGCTAATGGGGCCTCCTGCTGCCGCCGTGCCCTGATTTCAGTTCTCATCCTGAAGCAAAGTTCTTAACCCGAAGTACTACTTCTGGGTTAGCGGAGTCTGTAACCTGAAGCATCTGGAAACTGAAGCGTCTGTAACCCGAGGTACCACTGTATATTGTATCCAAAATCTGACACCCAGTGAATAGTTGCCACCTTCACAAACTCATCCTTTGTTTCCCATTCCAATAAAATGCTGTATATTTTAGATTTTAAAAAAAATCTTATCCAGTGGTCAATTTGCAGGCAGGCCTGGATTTAAAGCCCCAGCCAGCAAGGCAAGCACCTAAGTAACCCCACCAGGCAGGAAGCTCCAGGGCCCTTCCAGATTGTGATGTGAGATGGTGTCACTAGGTCGCAATTCTACCACACCATGAAGATGTGTAATGGCTGTTTGCTAAGACATCACAAACTGAACTGAACTGAATTGAACTGAACTGAAGGTGAGCAGACTTGTGCTCTTATGTTCTTAAGAACACTAAAGTGGTAGGGATGAGCATCTAATTACTTACTTTTAAACTTACACTTCACAATGAGTTTGTAAGTTTTGTCTGGTCTGTAGCACTGCTGATTGCAATGATGGAATGCTTCTCCAGATTAATAAATAAATAAGCTTGTCACACATCCCCATAGAAAATTAGGTATTAGGGACAAAGGTTCTAGCCAATTTTCTCCCTCACCGTTTTCTATGTAGAGAGGTGATTTTGTTTTTGAACAAAGGAGTAGTCTGCCATGTGTGTCACCCTTTGATCTGAAGTGATCCCCTCCAGGCACAGATTTACCATCTTGGTGAGAACTAGGCCACAATCGCTTATGGTTCAAAAATTGTACCAGAAATGGAAAGGCCCTTCAGGGGGGAAATATTATGTCTTTTTTATTTCCTTAAAACGTGTAACATTTTAGTGCTCTGTAGACAACAGGCTCATCATGGAGAGAGGGCACAGATGGGAGAAATTGCCAACACAGTATGAAACAAGGAGAGCAAAGCCAGAAGGCATTCAGGCCTGGTATGGAACAGTCATCATCACTACACCAACTGGCAGATGCTGATCTGAACAAGGAAACTAGGCCACTTGGTAACAGTTAGAGAGAAGAAGTCAGCCTAATAATGACTTGAATGCAGAAAGGGAAATCTCTCTTCTGGAGCAAGATGTCTTCAGTGAACTGAGAAACAAAGGCATTCTGGTCTCTGTAGGATTCAATTAAAATGCTTCAGTGTTTGCTTTTCTGACAGTGTGAGACATCCATCAGTAATAAGTTCTTTGCTGCTGCTTGAAATCCAGCATCCAATTTGCCATTATGCAGGTTTTCTTTCTTTCTTTCTTTCTTTCTTTCTTTCTTTCTTTCTCTCCGGGATATCTTCTAACTGCTCTCTCACAGTGCAAAGTTAGCTGAAGACCCCAGCACTCAGCTGATCAAACAAAGAGGTTATCCTGATTGACACCTGCTCAGTGCATGGCTTGGGCTGTTAAATGTAAAAATGTCCATTGTAAGAGGCACTCAAAGGGCTAGTCCACACAGCTGACTCAGTGATGCTGCAAGAAGGTTCCATCAATGATGAAGAAGGTCCATAAAGACCAAACAGTTCTAAAATGGTATGTTACCTACATGTACTCTGTGCTCCATGTATTCACCAATTCCTACCATTGTTGCAGTGTTTCTCAAAAAAGGGGCTTTGGACTCATAGGTGGGCAGAGGACAGGCTGTGAGCCTCAGTGCCACAGCCTGCCCAGTACCTCATCACTTGCCTGCCTCACCCTGGAGCCATAAGCTTTTGGATGGAGCAGTGGCAGCACCAGCAACTCCTTACATGCGAGTAAAGGTGGC